TTTTTTTTAATAAAATTATTGTACACTGAATGCGATGAACAATAAGCGATAAGCGATATCCAATGAGAATTCTGCTTCATGTGCAAAAACGCAGAACTTTGAATATCACTCGTTATTTAATATGCAATAGACATATTGGATAGGTATAGCTCTTCAGAAGCCTGTCACAAGAGTCCCGATCAAATACCTATCACATAGGTATGGAATTCAATGCATGGAATTCCATACATTGAATATTTATAAGCATGGAATGCTCTATATCATCTATACTGATTTTGTCGCCCATGGATTTTTAGTTTCTTCCAAAGTGTTCTTGATTAAAAGAAAATCCGGTGATCCTGGAATACTGTGTGTATGTTCTTTCATTGTGATAATATTTTTTTTAGGAAAATCTAATGTTTATTCGTTTCTCCCTGCATATCAAAAACACCAAACGATCCAATGAAAATTAAAACATGGAGAACAAACATTTGAAATATTCGCTTCATCGGTTAATTTAGCTGATATTAAATTTTCCGGCATGCATATTGTTACTTTTGCGGCTAATTCAACTATTCATGACCGCCGAACTTTCTTCGATAGTCGATATTTTAATGCGCTCTGTTAAAACTACTGCCAGGAGTGACATTGTTGAAAAAAATAAAAAAACGAAAAATAGGAAGGATATTCATCAGTTTGTCTTTGACTATTTACCCATTTATCACGTTCACGCGCGGGCGTGCGATTGCTATATATTTGTCACAAAAAATATATTTGTCGTTTGCGCGAGATTAAGAACAATTAATTATTATAAGCAGTATTTTCATAGAGGAAATTTTGAAAAAATTATTTATAAGTTACATTGAAATCTAAAACCTAAGAAGCTAAAGGCATGCGATTTTAAGAATATTCCAGATAGTACAGAGAGTCCGAAAAGAACTTTTATTGACTTTCTATTTATGAAATGAATTCCTGTTTTGTCACACTTAATTTTTTTTATGTAAATTAAATATTACTTTTATTAAAGATAACATACATACAAATATGCATATATATTTGTATTATATATATTTAAAAAAATTTTTTTTCATTTATGTTCATTTTAAACAGATTATGCTAATTTATGAAGAATAGAAGATGAATTTTCGAGTTCAAATGAATCAGTGCTATCTGAGATCTTAAAATTGTGACATTTTTTTGGAATTCTCACTTTTCTCTATTCTCAATTAGAAATTCTCAGAAAGTTATCTACAATTTACACCGAAGTCCAAAAGTCTAAGTACGCTTTTAATGGCATTTTAGAATTGCAATAGTGCTATATAACTTGTTCTTTTTTGAAACGATTATTTTTCTTGACATTTTCTTTAAATTATTAAAAAATGTTTTAACGAAAATATCGAATAAATACAAAAATATTAGCCTTATGATATACATTGGAATTAAAAATATTTTGCTTGGAAAAAAAAGTATTATTCCTTAAGAGAAACATGAATTTATACACATTTTATATACGCAATAAAGGATCATCAAGTTTTCGAGAGGTGAAAAGAAAGAGAACGTTTTTAAAAAGTGCGCAACTGGCAGACAGCGGAGGACAACAGCATTTTTCTCCTTTCTGTATATATCCTTCTCTTCTCGCATCAAAATGAGATAAAAGAGAGAAGACGAGTCGAAAAGCAGCACAAACAGTGTATGCTCGTGGTAATTCCTCTTTTCTGACCGATCCTTGTGAAGAGAGTGATTAAAAGCAAGCCCACGCTTTTGCAAATCTCGTAAAAATGTATAAAATACTGTAAGCAAGACTTACTTTATTAAACTGTTTATTGTTGTGAACATTATGGAAATTTAAATTAATATTTTGCAACGAGTCTGCTTTTTTCTACACATGTTGAACTTTGCCAGCACAAATTTTTCCATCTTGTACAAACTTTGTTAACTTTTATTATTATCATATGTCACGGTGATCAAATTGGTAAGATGCCCACAGAAAGAGAGATCCAGGTTTGAATTTTGGTTGAGATGATATTTTTCGCAATAATTTCTTTACTAGTATTTCAAAGATATAATAAAATCAGTAATAAAATGCTTGTATAATAATTAAAATGCTTGTCAACTTAATTTATGATATTGTGTACTCTAGTTTAATTTTTGTGTACCCTAGTTTAGAATTATGTTTTAAGACCGACAAATAATTGGTACGCAATTTGCTTTAATAGAAAATTATAAAAAACTTATAATAATATACAAATATATTATTAAACACCGCTTTGACCGAATACGGTCTTTATACCTATTTGTGTTTTTAATTTTATTACAATTTTTTAAGAATCCATTCTGAGAAGTATTTTTTTCTTCACGACAGTAAAACAATTATTTATTGGTAACAATTATTTATGCAAAAAATATAATTGCGGTATATGAAGATATCAAAGGTCATAAGTGAATTTCTTCCGTTTTTTTTGAATAATTCCAGGATGCAGGAGCAAGATTTCAGGTGCACAGGATAGAATGAATCGTCGGGAGGACCCGCTGTTACGGCAGCATCGCAGCCGTTTGCTGCAATTGGCCGAGGCGACAAACATCAAGCCTGGCCGTGGCAGCGGGAAGAGACGCGGACAGAGACAGTCGCATGGTTTCGGGCCCAGGTTAGTTAAAAAATTTATAAATTTATCTTAATTAGAGTCAAGAATTTATCTTAATTAAATAACTAAAAGATTAAAATCCATTTATGGAATAATTTATACCTTAAGGCATTTTCTTGAACTTTCTCGGAATGGATTTTTACATATCTTTCGATCTATCTATAGTCATAATATAAGATAATTGGTCAATAAACAAGTAAGATG